AAAATCCGAAGTATGGTCATTCCACTACAAAGTTTACGATTAATATACTTTGATGTTTGATCATTCAAAAAGTTTGATGGTTAGGCATAAATTAGGTAAGAATCTGGCAAAAAATTAAAGCAATTATATTAACCACTAATAGTAGGTAATAAAATGATACTGCAAACGAATAAAATTAGTCGCTCTTAGCATTGGTGACAGGATATGTTTACAAAAAAGATATTTTATAAAGTTAATTATAAAAATACTGAAGCACAAGGAAATCACCTCCAAATTTTAAATTTTATTTTGCAGACTAATGATATGACCATATTATGAGTACGTAAAGAGAAAATCTTGCATCTAGGAATAAAGAATGCGGCTTCAATGGTAAGGAGCCTAATAATTGTCTTTTACTAAGGTATTGCAGCAGACGAGGCCAGGAAAAGTCACTTCCAACTAAATATAAACGCAGGAATAAGTCGCGAGAACAGGGTCAAACCATCATCATAAATCATCATTGCCATAAATCTAAGAAAATAAGTGCATGAGATGTATGATTTACTGGTATTCACGATTACCAGCTTACAAAACGAAAATAGGTTTAAGTACATTCCCCAAGTTCTCCAACCAAGCTGAAAAAACGAGGTCAAACCAACGCGATAAAGCTAAAGGAGATTGCGATCAAACAGAAGGCCACACCATCTAGATCTTAGTATCTACAAAAATAATTTGCCTGAAAAATGAATATTTGATTGAACTGGGCTCTATGTCGAGCTTGGAGAAGCCTTCACTATTTTAAGCAGGCTTAATGATCGGAGTAAATTAGAAGTCTCTAGAGGCTCATATAATGTTATCTTTTATAGGCTCAATCGATTACCGTTTGAAAGGCCTGGGTCTGGTGTGCCAGAGCGTGTGGCTGTTGTTGAGACTGTGCATGCAATAATCCTGCTATTTGAGTCTGTGTTTGTAACGGGAGCTGTTGCTGCAACTGAGGTGGCGCCTGCCTCTGCTGCGCTTGTGACAGTTGATGTTGTTGTTGCTGTTGCTGAGGATGGTGATGCTGTTGTAAGAGGCCGCCAGGAGGCGAAATCCCGGCCATTTGCGCTTGTGGAAGTTGAAGTTGGTTTGACTGTCCTGATGCAAGATGCAGATGATGTTGCTGCTGCTGAAGCATTTGTTGATGTTGCTGCTGTGTTGTTGTTGTCTGGGGCTGTTGCAGGAGCACTGGCTGGACGGTTGGCTGCGGCTGTTGCGTCACCTGCAATTGTGTCTGCCTGCAAGCTCCAATGCCCGATTCCAAGCCGACGGGACAGCTTGCATTAACCCCCAATCCTGTTCCTGACCCGGAATATATAAGGCCTGATGCAGGACCCTGACTTTGAGCCTCAGATAAAATGGTGCTTGGGGGAATATTACCCAATTGGCTAGTAGGGGCACCGGACTGAACCGCAGAGACAGAAGAACTTCGGGTCGGCCCACCAGGAATTGAAGATCCAAGCTGTTGATGTCCAGATGGTGGCGGTGGAGGTGGTGTCGCCTGATGTGCAGGGTATTGTGTAGGATGCTGACTCAGAGGAGGTTGAGTTAGGCCTGAGGCCGAAGGAGCTTGGCCCGGAGTTGGCAGTGAGCCCGAAGTTGCTGACGCAGAACCAAGCTGGTTAATTACCACAGGGTGATGAGGGTGTGAATTCGGGTGCTGGTGATGATGGTGGTGCGCATGAGGATGCGCACCAGGCGGTAGGTAACCTGGAATTGGGGTTGGTGAAACAGTAGATTGACCGAGAACAGAGACTACCGACGGGTGATGATGTACGGTTGGTGCACTGGTCGCAGATGAAGAAGTGCTTGTCGCAATAGTAGTGGTTACGGTGACGGTAGTAGCGGTGCAGCTGGAAGCCGCAACAGAGCCAGCCCCCGAGAACGAAGATAGGGAACTGTTACTGGCGGTAAATCCGGGTGAACCAGAGACGAGGGGAGCTGCAGAGATGCTTGATGGTAAACGCATATAGGACTGGATATGGCCGGGCAAACCATGTGGCTGACTGACCTGAAGGTTAGCTGCAGAACACTGCTGAAGTGGCGGGGGACAGGCTGAAGAGACACCTGGGGCTAATGGCTGAGCGACAACTCCAGAATTGCTGCCAGTGCCATGTGGAGGAGCGGGACCTGATCCCGGTGGAAGGCGTCTCATTACATCGAAAGCGACTAAAAAGGATAAAAACAAATCAAGAAAATCAGACGTCAGACTTGCTTAGAATTGATGGGCGAATAAGTGAAACAATGCACCAAAATGGATGAGCAAAAGAGTTTATGAATAAACAATAGAAATGTATGCATATTTTCTATGCTAGCATGGTTTATGAAATATACTCATTCAATTGTTGGAAATTATTATAAGACCTTATATCATCTTGGAAACTTAAGGTAATGAGGTAACTTATTCGTTATAAATGCATGTTCTAGACGAGTATTCGCCTTAGCCTATTTCCAAATGAAAAAATAATGCGGCGATTTGTAAAATTACTGATGTAATGGTCAATGATTAAAATGGCCACATTATATGACTAGAACTATAAATCAGAGATTAAAATGTGTAATAAAAACATCCATGCATGTACTAGAGCAGTGTCTAAGGAGTGAAGGCAAGTTTTCCTTAGGATTGCAACACGCAATACAATAATACATTAAGAAATATCCTATTTGAAAACCAACAATGGCTTAGAATGCCTGTTTCAGAGTAAACCTTACGCAAGAGTATGCGACCATGTAATTTAAAAAATTAATAAATTTAGCATACTGAGAAAAGCAGACAACCATAAGCTAAATAAACAAGTCTTAATGCTGGAATTGGCTTTAGAGGGACCAAGTTAGCACAGGTTGTGGATACCCCCAAAATAGGAATTAAATGTCGCGATAAAGGATGCACTTTGAAGGAAATTAAAGGTCTGTGACTTTTTACCTTTCATTTATGAGAAGTTGGATCGAAGAAACAAGCTTCATAACGAATGACACATGCATGCAAGTTTTTATCGAATGAAACAGTTAATGACAGAGGAAAAAAGCAGTAACGATTCCATAGGCTCTTTTATTATAATAATTGTAGGAAAGACTTAGTCAAAAACTCTCAATATAGCAAGACTAATCTATTTAATGATCCTCATACAAATTGGGCAAGAAATTCCATCCAAAGATAGGGCTTCTAAGCTAGTCAGGAGAATCGCAAATAATGCATTGTTTTGTCGTTATTACATATATATTTACGAAGTTTATACTCAATAGGATGCTTCAAAACTAATAAAGAAAGGTATAGAAAAAAACATATGTGCAGATCTCTCTCAGGAAAAGATTTAGCTAACTCATAAGCCATACGTTGATGGCTGAAGAATGTGGCTAAAAGAAAATGTGGCCTTTATTACTTTTGCGAAAAGTTTCGAGGAATCGCCTGATTTATAAGAGTTGAACCCACTTCCAGTTCGAGTGACAGAGTTTGGTGAAGATATAAGAAGGCTGATCCCGCAAGATGGCAGATTCCTCTTGACCAGCTGCCGATTTGCTTTAATGGCATTCTTGTTGACGCTGTGAAAATGTTATACTAGGGAGTAAATCTTAGCAGGTTTTGACCATAATTGAAGGAAATAGCCTCGGAAGCAAGAATATTCCGGAAGAGCTAATCGACAGCCGACCGACAGGAATCCTCCCTCATCTTCTGATGGCATTGACCTTCGAATCCCTTCACTAAGCGCTTTCGTTCGAAATGTAGGTGGGTTGAAAAATTATAAGGAAATTCTTCTAAATCCAGGTTCATTTACATAAAGTAACAAAGTTGCGGTTTTTTGAAAAGAAAGAGGTCAAATGACTGGTTAAAAAAGTTTGTCTAATAGCTTACTCTGAGCAGATGGCCCATATTCTTGTTGCGACATTGTGCCATTAATCATCGGTTCGGATCTTGGCTGAATGCCGCCGGTAGAAGACTGCATCCAGGGTTGTGGTGGCTGCTGATGATGATAGTGCATGTGATGTTGATGAGGAACCTGAAGATGTTGTTGCGGTTGTGGCGGCTGCTGGTGATGCAAATGCATTGGAGAGCTGGGGACTTGGCCTTGTCCTCCAACGTTTGGGCTCGTGGTAGAATAGAATCCGTTCTGACTAACTGGACTTGAAACCGGCACACAGGAAGTCACTCCAGTGACTGATTGCACAGGAGCAGAATTGAGCCCCGAGGTGATCGTGTTAGCAATGGATGAAGAGGACGATGATGAAAGCGGTGAAGCATTAGCATTGCCAGGCCCCCCGGCAGATGTTAATGAGGTTGAACATGAAGTAGGTGTCGCCTGTCCAGTAGCCGTACCAGACCCCGTGACTGACTCAGCCGTAAGCAACATGGGGGTACAGCCGGTGGGCGGTCCTGTCGATGCAGTGTTAACTGCAGGCAGGAGTAGACTGGAACTAGCAGAGGATTGACTACCAACAGGGCTGGGGGGCATAAGATGCAAGCTTGAAGCCAAACCACCACCGCCTCCCCCGCTAGTGCCAGCGCCCATCCCGCTAGGCGTAAGTGATCCAGCTGAAGAGGCCGCATCCGAGACGGCTGCTGAGGCAGAAGTAGCATTGGCAGCCGCAGCAGCGGCAGCCTTCTTTTTCTTGCTACCTGACATCGACTCGATCTGCTCAACAATTGGTCGGACATCTAGACCACCAGCATCGAAGCGGCACTCATAGTCGAGCAAGTACTTCACATAGTTCTTGCGTAGAGTGTAGGCTGCCGAAGCAGAGGCATTGATGCCAACAGCCTGACTGACCTCCTTCCAACGTTTGGCTTGTACAACTTTGAGCAAACCTCCACGCTCCCGAACAGCAAGATAGAAGCGATAAAGGTCGAGTGGCTGTTTAACAACCTGTGGGATGCTAGTCACAGGCTTACCGAGATCATCCATGAAATGGAGATAGTGCTCAAGCCAAGTGTGACGCTCGGGCTCAACAGCGCCATTGGGGAGACCACTCATTTCCATAAGCTTGTAGAATGTAGCTTGTGAGACAGAAGAGAGGTGACCAGGACTAGTAGCTTGACTGGTTGGAGGAGCCTGTACCTGAGCAGAATGCTGCGAGTGGTGATGTGATGCGTCTCGAGATGGTATAGGTGAGTAGCCTGTCGAATGAGGCATGCGCGGATAGAAAATAATATCATAATAAAGTTCAAATGTGTTGTCGGTAAAAGTCAAGATTGCACGGCATCATGTGTGATGACACCTAGTCAATTCGGCAATCAAGGAATCAAATCTGACTAGTAGTAACGCCTCACACTTTTGTTAGAGAACGAAAAGGAAACGAATATAATTCCACGTAAATTGAATGTAAAGTCAAGCCTAACCTGGAAAGTCAGCATAAGTCATATGGACTGTAACTAATAGATTTCGGATTAGAGGCTAGCATAATATAATTTTCGTAGATATGAAGACCAAGATGATGTAGCCTTAGGTTTGGTCGCAGTCCCCTTTTAGTACTGGCTTGACTTATTCATAATATGGAGGGCTTGTGAAACACACACCCTGTGTCTTCTCTCATAGTAGAAATGATAATTTCCAGAATCTGATCGTTGACCTGGTAAATTCTAATTGTAGTAAGTCGTGAAAATGAAGTCAAGCCAATTATATAATATAACCTTTACATATGAAAAAAAAATTTCCTAATCGAAAGTATAAAATACTAAAAATAATTGAACGGATAGTTCCAGGAAAAGTTAAAACTTGTTAATAATAAGCAAATACCCTAGTCTGTAAAAAACGGTCTAGTGACGATAATTCATAACAAATGCG